TCTCTCTCTCTCTCTCTCTCTCTCTCTCTCACACACACACACACACACACACACACACACACACACACACACAAACGCATGAAGAGTATGATCATACGGGCATGGCCTACCAATCCCAGAGACATATTGGCGACCTCTCTGTGTGTGTGTGTGTGTGTGTGTGTGTGTGTGTGTGTGTGTGTGTGTGTGTGTGTGTGTGTGTTTGTCTCCGTGGAGAGAATTATCTGGGCTCTTCTGCAAAATCTTGTTGTCTATTTTACTCCCCCTTTTTTTCTGTTGAAAGGATTCACGCTGCAGACACCCCTGTCCCTGTGTCAGAGTCCCGAGGTGTCCCAGTCCCAGGCTATCCTGGTAGGTTAGGCCGTAGTGTCCGGAGGCTGAAGCGTCGTAGGCTGAAGCGTCGTAGGTTGGGAGGTGTCGGTACCAAAAAGTCGTAGGTCGGTAGAAGTCCATCCGGTACCCGACAAGAAAAGTCCAGAAGAGTTCAGTCCAGTCCGACAGTCCGAAGTCCCATGAAAGTCCGGAAGGTACCGGACTGGCAAAATGTTAGAAGCAGACAGGCCGCGGGCGTCCGGTACCGGTCTGAAGCAGGTCATGGCAAGCCAAGCCAAGTGAAGCCAAGACCTATATTTAGCTGCTACAGTGCAGCGGCTGATCACTTGTTCAGTTGCGAGACGTGGAAGCGCTGCTGCTGCTTGAGCGTTAAGGAAACTTGGGCACGGCGCGCCTGAAGAAGAAGAGGGCCCCAGCGAGATACTCCATAGCTAGGTTAGGGGTAGCGTAGGAGGAGGGCAGCCATAGCCGCCAAGGTGTAAGCTTACTTGAGTGGGTGTATCCAGGGTGACGATCGATCGAGAGAGTGAGGCAGAGCGAGCCAAGTCAGAGAGAGAAGCAAGACTAAGAGAGAGGGGGAGAGAGAGAGACAAGCCATAGCCGCTATCTGGTTGAGATCCGTTGTGTGTGCGTGCGTGTGTGTGTGTGTGTGGCATAGCCGCTGGAGACAAACACTTCTTGTATATTGATAATAATTCTGGAGACGACATCTTCGTGTGTTGATTGTATCTCGGTTTGGCTTCTCACATGTGAACTCTCATGTGAATGTTCATTGATGTATGAGAGGTGTAACTTGACGAGTATTTGGTTCATTTCAGTGTGTTTTTTGCGCATTGATGAATTCTGTGAATCGTTCGTTAGTATTGCATTTGGATCGTTAGGGAGCTCGAAATTGAGTTGGTGCTTGTTAGAAAGTGAAACTGTGTGACAACTTGGGCACTGGGCCCAGTTAAAATTAAAAAAAAAAAAAAAAAAAAAAAAAAACTGTATGACAACCTGGAAGGTGAATTCTCTTGGCAAAGTGACACAATTCATGTGACAATTCTGCAATGTGCTTGTCGCAGTCGGTAAGGCACGCAAGTGGCGTTCGCGGGGTAATTAATGGGTTCAGTCCCCTTAGGCCTCATGTACCTGCTGCCTGGGCAAACTTGATGGCCACAACCTACAGATAGGGTGTGGGTTTGCCAGACAGGCTATCTCATATGCGGCATTGAGTAGGGACTGCTGATCTGATGTTCGTAGGGGGAGGGGACGGGAGGGGAGGCACGGGCAACCAGGCGGCCTGTAGTAGGTAGTGTGAAATAAAAATATTGAGAGAAGAAAATGGAGTAGGGAAAAGAAACAATGCAGCTGTGTCCCCAACATGAGGAGAAGGCAGCAGAAAAAAAAAAAAAAAAAAAGAGGAGAAGACAGCTTGCATTTTTATTCTTAATGAAGAAGAAGAAAAAAAAGAACAGGTGCCGCTTCTAATCAACGGAGAATTAAGGGGCCCAATTATTCAGTGGCACAAGGTATAGAGGGAATGAAAAAGGAATTAAGGGACCCGTTACGGGAGAACTAAGGAATAATTAAGGGAGAAAAAAAAAAAGAAGAAGCAATTAAGGGAGCGATGAACGAAGCAATTAATTAATGAACCAATTAAGGGAGCGATGAACGAAGCAATTAATTAATGAACCAATTAAGGGAGGATGAAGGGCAGATGATGGAAAAATTACGTAAGAATTAAGGAAAGTAAAATAGTGGAGGGAGAATTACATAAGAATCAAGGACGAATTAGACGCCACAAGTATAGAGGCATCCATTAAAAGGAGAAATTCTAGCGGATGCTGCTGTACAAAGGATGAGGAATAAAGGGGTACGAGAATTAATGGAGGTAGTAAAGGGGTATAGAAGTAATGCTTGGCAACTAAAGGAGAATAAATTATAAATGTATGCAAAAGAAAAAAAAGGAAAAAAAAAAGAAGCATTCACGGGTAGAGCTGAGCTGCTGAAGGGAAAAAAAAAATTCAAGAAATATCTTACCCCGTTTTTTGTTTTTTTTTTGTTTAACTTGAAACTTCTAATTTATTTTCTTCCCCCCCTCCCCCCACCAAAAAAAAAAAAACAAAACAAAAAAAAACTTACATCATTTCTAGCCTCCATGTCCGCATTGTGCATTAGCAGAAGCTCGACCGTTCCTGTCTGTCCATTCTCAGCCGCCACGTGCAGGGGTGTCTGTCCACTCTGCTTCAATCCGAACACACGTGCCAAATCACATCCCAGAAAAGGACAAGAAAGCAAGAAAGGAGGGAAAAAAAAATTAAGTAAAAAAAAAGTCGATTATTAAACGTCACGAACTGAGAAAATCAAAACCAAGAAAGGAAATCATATCTAATTTCTAAAATTCTAGGTAATTAATCAAGATAATTCAACAGTCAAAAGAGTCAACATAAGAAGGGGAAAAAAATTAAATCCGAACTTATTAATAATACATGAGTTTCACAAAACGCACTAACCAGTCAAAATCAAGTTAATCAACTAATAACACTGGTTTTAGCGTTAAATTGTTTAAAAATTAAAATACGTATAACAGATTTTTAGGGTTTAGGGTTTTGACGATTCCTTTTTCATGATTTTTATAGTTTGAGCTATTAAAATGTCTATTACTATGTTTGCACTGGGAGGAATACCTCCATTAGCACGATCCTCTTTTTTGCTCTCCTGTAGACTTTTCTATATTAGACTCTTCTATAGATTTTTTTTTATAGACGCTTCTATAGAATCTTTTCTATAGACTTTTATAAGATGGAGCTCTATATACAGAGCCATGCTTTTCTCTTGTTGATTTCATAGAGCAGGAAAACAAATTATATATGTTTTTTTGCTGCTCAGTAAAATAAAGAAAAGAAAAGCACGGCCAAAATTTAATCTCATTAGAAAATAAACAAGGCATCATTGGTTAAAAAAAATCTTTTAAATTATATCATTAAAAAAATAAACACATCATCAGGAACAAACAAGCAAGCATAGTTTTTTTTAAGATTTGAGTCTTTCGACTAATTAATGAAGGGGATAATGAAGAAGTCGAAAGACTCAACGTGGAAGCATTGAACCTGGACTAGAAAACGGGTGGCCAAGTTTTGATTTAATCTCATCAGAAAAGAAACCACCAATCCTCCCATGATCCTGCACCTGGAGTGCACGGTCGGAATTCACCTGGACGTGGACAAGCCCAAGTGCATGATCTGCACCTGGATGCCCAGAACCCCAGGTAAATACTATCCCTGCTGCTTTAAATTTGTAAAATTTATTGTATTCCCTTATCGAGACTTTGCAGTTTTGTGCCATTTTTCAAAATTTTAATGATTTTTTTAAAACCATATTATTATTTAATTCGTACCCTAATAATCCTTTGCCCCTTTTGTTCCGTTTTGCATCGAATTCGTCTTTTCCTTCCTTGTCAATGGTGTGAGGATGCTTGTGACCTATCCCTCCTCCTCCCCCCCCCCCCCCCCCCCCCTGGGCCGCCCCCTCCCGGTTGCCGCGGGCCCCCCCAACAGCACTCCACGCTGGCGATCTCCAGGAGACAGAGCACCGTCTTCCTTCGAATCCCCTAACCCAAAATTCGCGGAACTATGACGTAACGCTATCCGTCTCTCTCCTTCCTGCCCCTTGGTATTCACTCCTTCCTCCCTTTCTCCTTCCTTCCTCCCTCCAATCCCCCCCCCCCCCCCCCCCCCTCCCCTGGGCCGCCCTCTCCTCAACCCTGTCGCCTCCCCTTCCACCCCCCAAAGGGATGAATAGGAAGGCTCACACAAAGTTATCTCCCAGTTCAATTGGATATAATTTTTAATATAATTTTTGATTTTTTTTTTTTAAATTTTTGATATAATGTTTTATATAATTTTTTGTGGATCAAAAGGTTAGGGATGAGACTCGAACCTTATCCTTTGCTTCTTTATCTGCACCGCTGCGGAGGAGTAGATCAACGGTTCCTGTTCTCCCACCCTCGCACGCTCCGTGTAGAGCAGTAAGTCCAGCCTGCCCATGTACACACACGCACACATGAGAAACACGAGAAGACGGCACTACTCTTGTCTTGTTAACCTGACAAAAAAAAAGAGCCACATTCATTGCCAGATCTAACATTTTGCACCAATAGACTGTTGAGCTGTGTAATAACCCGTCCCGCCCAGATCACCTTGTTTGACATTTCCGTAGCAGCTGCTGTGGTAAGAGAACCCGTTAGGCTTTCGGGTTTACAGAGAATCTGATGCTTTCTTCAATGGTCCACATACAATGTTTCTTTCTCGTGTTTTTTTTTTTTTTTTTTTTCCCTTCCCCTCTTTTTTTTTTTTCTCCCTTTTTTGTAAGCTTCCTTTTGCTTTTAAATTTTAGTCCTTTTTTTGAATGTTTTAAATTGTTTTTCCCTTTCTTTTCCTTTTTTTCCTTTTCTTTGAAAATTTCCCCTCTTTTCCCCTCGTCTGTAACATTTTCACGAGAAGAGAGAAATGGCTATGGCGGTTGGTTGGCTGGTGATCAACCACCATAGCCATTTCTCTCTTAATGGATGATCCGGTCCGTCTGCCATGCAGAGCTGGACAGCAGAGATCCCAACAACAAGGACAGATGCGGGGTCCGGGTTAATTGGCTACCAATCAAAAACCGTCAGCCATAGCTATTTTACACCATGCGCTACATGGCTACCAGGTTCCCCTTTAACACAACGCACCCTCATTACAGCTGTACCCGACTAGAAAGATAGCTTGTATCAACCAAAACAACCAAAAAAAGGTTGAAAAAAGTAAAAAAAAAAAACACGAGTTTCAGCTTTCCGAATGACCGAAGAAGAGAGAGAATTAAAAAAAAAAGAAAAAAAAAGAAAAAAAGAAAAAAGAGAGAGAGAGAATGTCTGTCACCCAGCCCATGTGGCTGAATTGTACACCCATGGGTACACCCATGAATTATTTATTGTCGATAAGCAGATCTGAGATCGAATCCCCATGAAATCAGACGAGTTAAAAAAAAAAAAAAAAACTCAGAAATCCTGTATTACCCCAGGCCGGTAAGTTCTTTGAGGATGATGCCTCTTGGCTGTTGTCCCCGTTTTTTTAAAAATGAAAATTAAAAAGTACTACAAAATCAAACAATAGAGAACAAATGACGGAGCACATTCAAAAAATAAAAATAAAAAAAATCAAACTTACATCATCCCTTGCTTCTTTGTCTGCTCCATGCTTCAGTAACAGTGCGACTGTCGACGTCTGGCCTAGAGCGGCCGCCAGGTGCAGTGCACTTTGACCGACCTGCATCCAAAAGACGACAAAACCCATATAAACCCCATCATTATTACGCAAAAAATGCTCATTAAAAAAAAAGGGGATGGGGGGAACCCGTTTAACATTAATTTTGCGCTACCAACCGGGTTGTGCCCAGGTCACCTTGGTTGCCCAGGAGGCCCGGCCAGGCAAGGGCCAGGGAAGGTCCTTGAAAAAAAAAAAAAAAAAAAAAAGGGTTAAAAAAACCGGAAAAAAAAAGTTTAGTAAACTTAGCAACTTTGGCCTCCGGGTTACATCGATTTTTTTTGCCAAGAAAAATAAAAAATAAAAGTAAATTGAAATTTCAAATTTCAAATTTAGAAAAAAAGTTTTTTCTTTTTTCTTTTTTTTTTTGCCCCGGGCGGGAAAGTGGTCCCCTGCCACTCTGGCAACCTAGCTTAAGAAATTTACAGAAGATAAAAAAAAAAAGAACAATGCTGATGTGTACGTACGGCAATCTATGGAAATGGGGCAGGGCAGGGAGGGGAGGGAGGGAGGGCGGGGGTGGTGGGAAGACCCCGGAGAGGGGCAGTGCAACTTATATCGATTATTGATTTCTGGCCGTAGATTATTCCGCTAATTTTTAGTAATATAGTATTTAATTTATTCAATGTATAAATAAACAACAAGTTGGTTTCGGAGAACGAGTACGACCGTGGCGGTGCCAACGGTGCCACGAGCTGGGGTCTGTATTTTAACAGTTCATGGGACCGGTGTGGTCCACTCTGAGCTGGCGATTTCACATGCAGTAGTGGACATGAGAGAGAAATCAATCACAACCAATTGGCCCAGCTCAGAGGGGACCACACCGGTCCCCTGAACTGTTAAAGTACAGACCCCAGTTCGAATCCAGATGCAATCACATAAAAAGAATACAATAATTCGGAATTACCTGTGGCCAGCAAGCTCAATGATGATATCTTAAGGCCGTCACCTTTTCCAAATAAAAGGGGGGGGGGAATTAAAATTAAAATTAAAATTAAAATTAAAATTAAAATTAAAATTAAAATTAAAATTAAAATTAAAACAAAAATAAAAAAAGTAAGGTGCATCAGACGCAATAACTCCAGTAGCACACATGTCAATCAGAGAAATGTCAAAGTCTCAGAAGAAAGACAGCGTCTTCAAGTATTAGAGTTTAACACCAAGAGCTACTGCCATACCGCCGAAGCCATGGCGTCACTTCTTCAGTCCCAAAAAACGAAATGGGCCCACAACCGGGCCCATCACCCTCGGTTCGTCATAGGGCCACCGGCGGAGTGCTGTAACAACATCAGTCTAGCATTCAAACATCACGTTCGAGATGCAAAAACAAGTAATATGCGTAAGCACACCACTGAGGAGAAAGATATGGAAGAACGAGCGCAGGTAATAGTTTCCAGAAGATACAACATGAAGCACAACATAGTCAGGCGAAAGACCCTACACCGTGTTTCTGCCGGTCGCCTATCCGGCGTCATCAGGGGTCATGGTACCTGGCGCAAGAAGCAACTAAAAGTTCTATAACTTATATACTTACCTATATGCGCTGGTCTACAGCAGTCAACCATCGGCCCGAAGTTGTAGAAAAAACATGAACCGGTAGGACAGAACTGGCCCGACTCCTCGATACAAATCTGAAAACCCAAAAACTTGCGAAGGTCCCAGGTTCAATCTCAGATGACAGCTGCAAAAGTTCTACAGAAGTTCTTAGTTATACCAGGTTATGCGGATCTACCAGACAGAACTGGCCCAGACCAGAATCAACGCACAAGGTCATTGGCCCGAAACTAGAATCCTCCAGACAAGAGCTCTTGGTTGTGCCAGACTTAACCGATCTACCAGACCAAATTTGGCGCGCCCAAAGGGAGTGCCCGAGTCATAGCCTGATTCTACCACTTCCAGTCCGTAAGACACCGCACCCAGGGTCTCCAACAGTTATTCATTTCAGCCGAAAAGGTTTTCAGACTATGATCGAAATAATAATCGGGGAAACCTCTGATTTGAAGTTCAAATTTCAATGTTAACAGAAAACACGCCTCGGCCCCCGGTATCGTGGTCGAAGTTGTTGCCCTGTGTAGACAGGCGGTAATGACGGACAAGTTTTGTTGCTTATCCGTATAAGAAGAAAAATCTTGTTGATTTTGAAACAACAGTCCTTGATTGATAACATACCGCTCGTTCTTGTGGAAGGCTGCACATAATACCCGGTATCGGAGTGCTGGCGAATTCCCAGCTGCTTTCGCCTGGTGCCAGAGAGATAAAGACACATCAGGGGGGGAAAGATTCTCAAAAAACTTTTCAAGATGGTTCTAACCGGGCAGGACCAATTGCTTGTCAGTCCTCCCACTTGGCACAATCTCGACTGCTTCGACATCACGCTTCTTTCTTTATGTCCACCACTTGTCCCACTCTCGATGGACCAGGTTCTTTATGTCCCACTTGTCCCAATCTTGACTGCTTCGACATCTCAATGGTTCTCTCTCTCTCCCGGAAAAAAGACTGGTCAGCATCCTCACAACTCGTCCCAACCTCATATTGTCCTTGAGAGAGAACAATTAGAGCTCAAAGCAGTCGAGATTGGGACAAGTGGGACACAAAGACTGGTCCACAACTCATCCCAACCTCATATTGTCCTTTCAGCCATTGGTACGTTTTCCCAGCCATTTTTTCTACGGGGCTGCTGCATGGGCGCCATGTAGGGCAGGATGTACCCGGGCGCTAGTGTGCAGAAAATACATCCAGCCAAAATCCGTCGCATGCAAGGTCCATTCTGCTTGAATGCATTGTTTGCGAAGAAGCAGCCCGATACATCCCGCCAGATGAGTCTGCATGCGCGCTGCGTCGTAGAAAAATGGCACGGAAACGGACTCGTGCTTCAAACTTTCGGACAAATTGAATCGCAATTAGACTCTACTTCCTTTGGCTTGACGCTACCGCCCACCCACCCACCCACCCACCCAGTTATTGCCCCGGGCCCTTCTTTCCACGAAATGCCGAAGACACCAAAATTAATAGCAGTCTCCTCTTTCAAACTCCTCTTCC